CCGATTTGGGGCTCTCTTGTGCCCTGCCCTCTGACCAAAAACTGATGGCCCCGAGCGAATCCCTTCTTCTTCCCCTCCTCCTCCTCCTCCTCCTCCTCCTCCTCCTCCTCATCATCATCATCATCATCATCATCATCATCATCCTCCTTCCCCTCCTCCTCCTCCTCCTCCTACTCCTCCTCCTCCTCCTCTGTTCTCCTTCTCCTCGTCATCCTCCTGGTCCTCCTCCACCTTATCATCCTTGCAGTGTGCTCCTCCGCCTCCTCTCCTCGCCGTCGCCGTCCTCCTGCTCCTCCTCCTCCTTCTCTTCCTCCTCCTACTCCTCCTCCTCCTCCTCCTCCTCCTCCTCCGGCCGGCCGGCCGGCCGGCGCCGGCCCGATGACGGCACGCAGCGACGATGGTGTCAATGACGTCGACGGCGACGGGAAAGGCCCCCATGAGGGCCCCAAGGCCGTTCTTTCGAGAGCGGCTTCGCGTGACCGCTCCTCTGAACCCTCTCGGAGCCGTCTGAGGGGCACCAGATTGAAGATTTACAGTGTAAATCGTCGTGCTGGTGCCACAAAAATTCCCAAAAAACACCCAAAGGGCCCCGAGAGCGCGTGCCTCTGAGGGCAGGAAGGGCCCAGGATGAACATCTACAATGTAGATCTTCGCACGACCAGGGGAGCCCAGGGCGAAGATCTATACTGTAGACCTTCGCGCTGGGGCCCCAAGACGGCTCCAAGAGGGTCCCATCGATGGCTCCAAGGGCCCCAAAAGCGGTCACGCGAAGCCCCTCTCGCGTGACCGTTATTTTGGCCATCTGGGGGGGCCCTTTGGAACCATCTTGGGGTTGGGGGCCCAAGAGGGCCCCAAGAATAGAACACCAAGAGGGCTCCACAAGGGCCCCAAGACGTTTCCAAGACGGCCCCAAGAACGGCCACGCGGGGACTGAACGAGTCGCCCGCGCCGCGGCCCATCGGCGCTGCAAACCACCCGCGACCCACCAACGCCGCGACCCGCCCGCGCCGCGACCCACCCGCGCCGCGACCCACCCGCCGGGGCGACGACGACGACGACAACAACACCAACACCAACAACATCAACACCAAAACAGCAATAACAACAATAAGAAACATAACTCGCCAAGGGAAACTGCAAGACCGCACGTCCCCCCACTCTGACTGATGACATACCATGGTGATACCCATGGCCATCCTCAGCCGTGCGTTCGGCCTAGCCAGCAAGTCCCTATAAGTACCTGTCTGTGGCGCGGTTAGAATGGCAGGGGGCCCCGGCGATGCCAGTGCCGCAGCGGGTGACGCCACCCTTGAGGCAGAACCCTGGCGGAAGCCGCGCTGCAGGTCCGACGCGGGGTCAAGATGGGCCGGCGGCAGCGCGGGCGCGGCGCGATGGAGCTCCCGGGGCAAGGGGCAGCCAGTGGCGCAGCGGGCGCAGCTGGGAGGACCGCAGCCTGGGGTGGGCGCTGCTCACCGGAGGGGCTGTGGCGACCCGTGCGACCGCCTGCGCAGGGTTCCCCGGCGTGACGTCTAATGCGGCCCACTGTGGATATCAAGAGAGCGCCGGAACGAAACCTGGCCAGACGCCATCAATCGCCTCGAGGGCACCCGGGCAGGGCCCGCGGCCGGGGGGGCGGCAAGGCCTGTGGCAAAGGACGAAGCAACCCCATCAGCTTCGACATCGTCTGCCGCGAATTCCTGGTCCCAGTGCGACATTCGCGCCATGTGACTACTGGGGTGACGTCTGGCCGCATCAGCGGGGCCGGCAGGCCAGGGCCGCTGGCGGGGAATTCCGAGGCGGCAAGCGGCCCGGCGGCGCCTCGTGGCCCGCCGGCGACGAGTCCCGCGTGCGTGGACTGTAGCTTCACGGCTGCCCTTGAGCAGAAATGGCACGGCGCGCTCCCTGCCGTGGACAGACGTGATCGGCGACGGATCCCACGCCAGAGTCCTAGTGAACGACTCCGCGCTTTTGATCCCAGGAGGTGCCGTGCCTGTGACCCACCTTCTGGTGCAGCGGTTAGGTGCTTTCCTTCGGGGCACGCCATCCACCGCAGGTGGTGCGCCCCCATCTTGGGGGTGCGCCATCTACGCGGGGTGGCGCGTCTCCTCTCCGCCGCGGGCAGGCCGCCCTAGCTGCGCCGCTGCATCCGCCTGCATGTGCGCCGGTTAGGTGCGCTTTTCTCCCCCCGCGCGGGGGCGCGCCATCTACCCCGCGTGGTGCGCCTTCCCCTCCCCCCCCGGGAGCGCAGCATCCACCCTGGGTGACGCGCCCGCCCCCCGCGCGGCGCCCCTCTCTCGCGCCTCCGCTGTTGGCGCGCCTGCTCGTGCACTTGTTAGGTGCTTCCTTCTCAGTATGGGCTCATGTGCGCTGCTTGCTTCCGCCTGCCGGTGAGCTGCCGCCGCCTGGCCCCTCCTTGGCGCGCGCCGCCAACCCGGGCTTTGCGCGCGCCCCGTCAGCCATATCCCTGCGCTGGCTGGCCAGCGGTGCGTGCAGGGGGGCGCCCGGCTGCCATATTGACTTGGGTGCCTGCGCTCCTGCGCCGCCCCCTTTGCCTCCTGCCCTCGGCTGTGATGCGTGCACCGGCCGGGGCTTGGCTCTGCCGCCCCCCGCCCTCCCCGCTTGCCAGCGGTCCGCGTGGCCCCCGCTTCGTTGCTGGCCCTCGCGCCGCCGCCCAGGCCTCGCCGTCGCCCCTCCCCGGCACCGCGGCCTTGGCTTGCGTGGCGGGCGCGCGCTGCGCCCCCCCCGCCTGCAGCGCCGCCGCTATTGGTGTTCTGGGGGATCTCGCCCCCCGTTCCGCCACTGCGGCCTCTGCAGTCAGCGCGGCCCCACCTGTCGCCCGCTCAGCCTCGTCCCTCTGCATTTTGCCACTTGGGGCGTTCTTCGGCTCCGCTGCCGCTGACCCCCCGCGCCCCCTCTTCCGTTTGCTGGTCGTCGACCTCCCGCGCTGCGGCCGCTGCCCCGGCCCCATGGGTGTGGTCGCGACGCCACCCTTGCCCGCTGCCAAGGGTGCGGCGCCGGCTTGGCCGCCCCAGGCGCCCTGCTGGGCGCTTTACTTCTTTCCCGTCCTCCCGCGTCCGCTCCTCTTTTCCCTTCCTTCCCCTCTTCCATCCGGAGAATTCGCAGTGCCGTCGCCGGGCTTGCCCGAGCGCGCGCGCTGACTGCCTTTGCCGCGCTGCGACGTAAAAGCTGTGTGTCCTCCGTTCGGGGCCTGGTGGTTCCCTGAGCTGCCTGCGGTTTCCATGCGGCCCCGATGTGTTCCGAAGGCTAGCTGCTGGCTGTTGGCCAGCCGCTTTCACCGCTGTCCTCTTCGCACGGTCGCCCAGCGCTCGCTGCGCTCCGTGGGGCATGGTCGGTTCAACCCTCTCCCGCTGGGCGTTGCCGCTTTCTTTCTTCGCCCCCCCACCTGATGAAAACGCCGCCCGCCCCCCCCTGCCGTGCAGCAGGGCCATTTGCGGGCGGTGCTTCGGCGATTACTACCTTGTGCAAATGTCAGTTCACCATCCGTGTAGTTGCTTAAACTGTTTAGCCTCAGGGTGCTAAGTTGTGGGGGGTCTGATATACCTCGCTCGGGTCGCCCTGCCCGCGCGTCTGGTGTTTCGCGGTGGAAGTGTGCGTTGTTCCCAAAAAGGCTCCCGGCACGCGGTCCAGTAGGTACCCGTGTATTTGGTGCGTTGAGAGACGAGGAGGAGGAGGACAAGGAGGATGAGGATGAGGAGGAGGAGGAGGAGGCGGAGGAGGAAGAGGAGGAGGAGGAGGAGGAGGAGGAGGAGGAGTAGGAGGAGGAGGAGTAGGTAGGGGGAGGAGGTGGGAGAAAGAGGGGATGGATGAGGATGATGTGTGGATGAGGTCGAGGAGGAGGAGGAGGATGAGGAGGGGGAGACGGAGGTAGAGGAGGAGGAGGAGGAGTAGGAGGAGGGGGAGGAATATCAAGAGGACGAAGAGGGGGAAGAGGAGGGGGAAGAGGAGAAGGAGGAGGGCTAGTGTTCTTGTACGATTATCTTGTTCTCTGATTCTCTGGCTCGGGGAGGGATGCTGAGGACGAGGAGGGAAGGGGAGCGCAGCATGAAGAGGGCTCGAGAGGAGGAAGAAGGTGAAATAGATGAAGGAACAAAAGGGGGGACGCACCGAAGAGCGGGGAAGACGGGGAGGATGAGGAGAAGGAGGGGGAAGAAGAGGAGGAGGAGGAGGTGAAGGAATAGGAATCCCTTCCAGGGAAACGCCGACCAGGAAAATAATATAAAATGATGGGAAGAGGGAGAACGAGAAGAGGAGGAGGGTAAGGGGACTGCAGTGGACCAGGGATGATAACGGCGATGACGCTGATGATGATGACGATGACTATGCCGACGACGACGCCGACGACAACGCCGACAACGACCAACAAGATGTTGATGATGCGGATGATGATGCTGAAAACGACGATGACGATGCTGGCGATGGTGATCACGATGCTGATGATGATGGTGATAATGATGATTGTTGTGATGGTGCTGGTGAAGGTGACCGTGATACTGACGATGAATAGGACGGGGATGAGGATGACAATGATGACGATGATCATGACCCTAGCTAAAACTTAAGCGCGCGCGAAGCGCGCGCGATGGTTCTAGTAATATTAACACGAAACATATAGCAATAAAAGTAATACTATTCTTGTTAATACTACGAACACACAACATAACAATACTACTAACAATCACATGGGTAATGATGATAACGCTATTAGTACTACTCGACGTGATACTAATACTATTAACATCGCTTCCATGTTCATACTGTTAATACTAGTACTAGGGATGCTGCT